GCGTATCCCGAAGCGCGCGTACGATCATATCTCTCCCGGTCGTTTTGAACGATTTCTCCAATATCTCGTTAGTCCCTACATTTTTCATTCGTGCAGTTACATCTCGAGTCAGATGTGTGACAGCGTCGGATACTTTTTTTTCCATATCACTATACACTTTTAAACTATCTTTCTGCATATCATGAAGCGCGCGTACGATTATATCTCTTCCTGTCGTTTTAAACGATTTCTCTAACGACTCCTTCGTCACCGTATTATTCATTTGTTGACGTAGATCAGTTACACCTCGTTGAATTTCATTAGTCTCCAACATTTCTTTCGTCGCTATATTATGCAATTGTTGACGCAGATCAGTTACACCACGCTGAATCATCTCTTTCGTCACCATATTAAGCATTTGTTGACGTAGATCAGTTACATCACGTTGAATCTCGTTGGGCACTTTTATCGATAGCGCGCTCACACTTTTCGAGACCTCCTCCACGTTGTTTCGCACTTTTTCCACATCGTTCGAGATATCTTTCTGCGTATCCCGAATTCCGCTTTATACCTGAACCAATACTCGTGCCACTGACACTCCTTGTAACTAAGAGCGGAGCAATAATGTTTTTGTATGTGTCCCTTGTTACTCTTAATAGGCATTCTAGCCTTATTGTCACGTCTGTGAGCATTCGTCGTCAATAATATATGTTTGTACGTTTGTTTATCATTCTCAGTGTAGATAGCGTCGTTTGGAATCTTCTTGAAGATCAGCTCGTATAGACCCGGTGTACCTTTGTATTTCTCTCCATCTGATTATAGTGTCGTCCGTATCCACGTCAAATTTTTTATTACCCAACATCGTGCCGTTTTCATCGAAATAAACACCGTAGACAAGATCGATTTCATTTCTCGCGTTACCAATTAAAAGAGTATTCACATATACTTATCCTAACGGCCCTAATTGACTTTGCAGTCTCTGACGACCTTGAGGGGTGTTCAACGCCTGTCTGACAGACGTTTCAAGCGATGGATTATCACCGGTATCAAAAACTTCTTCGTCCTGCGAATCAAAAGGAATTACTTGTTGTTGTTGTGATTCTATTGGTGTGGAATGAATTATGGATGAATCAGGCATGACGTTTGATCGTTAGTCGGTATACTAGGCGGATTTTAACCCATGGGGCTAGAGGGGAGTGCGGGGCGCGGGGGGTACTTGGAGGCACGGGGGGGGG